AACGCAGGGCTCGAACCCACCAACCATGAGATCATGACCTGAGCCAAAGTCGGACACTTAACTGACTGAGCCACCCAGGAGCCCCAATTATCCTCATTTTAAAGATGAAGATGCTGAGGCTGAGAGACTTAGAGACTTAGTCTCCTGGCTGTGTGGATAGTATACCCAGGAGTAAAGCTCAAGCTTGTTTGAGTTCTTCATCATTTTTTTTTTTTAATGTTTTATTTATTTCTAGGAGAGAGACAGCATGAGTAGGGGAGGGTCAGAGAGAGAGGGAGTCACAGACTCTGAAACAGGCTCCAGGCTCTGAGCTGGAAGTCAGCACAGAGCCCGACGCGGGGCTCAAACCCACATACCGCGAGATCATGACCTAAGCGAAAGTCGGACGCTCAACTGACTAAGCCACCCAGGCGCCCCTGAGTTCTTCATCATTATTATGCACAGAGACTACTGATTTCTGCAGCGTGCCTGGAGGCTGGTATACAAGAGCTTCCCGTGGAGAGCTACCCAGTTTGGAAATCCCCAATGGTATTTTTGATGGATGACTTCAGATTCTGGGGTTTTGGAAAATAGTCATTGCCCACAATCCCATTCGGAATGTAATGTTCAGTGTCTGGGGTTGCTGGTTTTTGAGCAAATGGATGAGTTTGGATGATGAAACTTCAGGCCCAGAAATAGAAACAGGCTCTCGATAGGACAGTAAAACCCATTGGCCAAAGGCTATTGTCAAAGTAGTTCCCTTGGAGAAAACTATCCATGCAACCCCACGAAAACTACCAGTTGTTAATGTGTTCCTATTTTGTAAAAGAAGGGGCATCCTTTCTCTGTATTTTGATCTGTGAGAAGCTTCATAGAAGCATTGCTTCTGGGGGATTATATTAATGTTGTATATTCTATTTTATTGCATCAGATGTGGAAAGCTTCAATGAGACAACAGATTTTCAAAGCTAGAAATTTGTCCCTTATAAGTATTCTTTAATTTTATAGCTCTCTTAGAATTCTTAGTCATTTTGAGTGGCTGTAAATCAGGCACATGCTAGATAATTAATGGTTAATGTTAGATTTCAACTTACCAATCAACATAACTGGAAAGTTGGGTGGCATCAAGTTATTTTATTTTATTTTTTCAAAACATTGTCAAATAGTCTTCCCAGGTGGCCTTTTCTGCCAGTCTGGTTTTCTTCCTGCCACCTCTCAACCCAGAGTTTTACCTTCTCTGCTAAGGATTGTTCTTCTGAATAGAGAGATAAAACAAGAAATAGTGATTGCCTGGCTGTCCAGATACAACTACTTGATGTGAAGCCAGGATTTTCTTTTGTAGGTATTTTAGACTAAGTTTGACTCTGTCTTTAAAAATACTCCATGGCATGGGGCTCCTGGGCGACTCAGTTGGTTAAACGTCCGACTTAGGCTCAGGTCATGATCTCACGGTTTGTGGGTTTGAGCCCCACGTTGGGGTCTGCTGACAGCTAGCTCAGAGCCTGGAGCCTGTTTCAGATTCTGTGTCTCCCTCTCTCTCTGGCCCCTGCTCACACTGTCTTTCTCTCTCAGAAATAAATAAAACATTAAAAAAGTTAAAAAAATAAATAAAAATACTCCCTGGCAATGGAGTGCTAGATTGTCAGCCTATCAAGAAATAAGCACATTCTGTGAGAACGGGGAGATTCAGAAATTCTGCTTTTTAGCTTTCTCTTGATCTTGCACAGGGTGTATGTATGGATGTATAAAAAAAAATTAGTTTTAAGACACTGAACATACTTTTTTAAGAAACCAAGTATAGTTTTCATAGTCCTTTCTACACAGTGATTTAATTCTCAGGAGACACTACAGAAGCCTATTCCATTGTTCTGTGAGCAGTTAAAAGCAATTATCAATCACTTTGATGTTTATTAATCCTGATATCATTGCTTTCCTAGAAATATGAGAATCAATTACATTTAATCTATCTTGTAATACATTTTTACATTAGGCTGTAACCATGGCATCTGGCTCCAGTTACTAATGTCTCATTCTTTAATACTATTGTTTTGCATTTCTTACATTATTATTAAGATAAGCCCCAAATGAAAATCTCAAAAATTTTTTAACTCACTTCTTCAGAAACCACATCAAGTACTTTCAGAATTTTCTATCAGACAAATTTTTTTGGTGAGGCAATGTGGAGTTGAGGGACAATTTTTAAATACAAGGTCTCTATATGCAATTAAAAGGACAAAATAATTCTCAGACTTGATGGAAAATTTTCACTTTTATGTTATTCATGTTCATATAACTAGTTAGAAACATGTTTATGGTTCCTATATGGCTATAAAATCAAAGTAAATTTGTGAGTTAGTAAAAATTATAAAGCCAATAAGATTCAAATTAAGGGCTTAATGATAGATGATTTTGTCTTTTGGGGAAAGCATAGACCTCCAAGAAAAAGTCCATGATGCTTGGTAGTAAAAGTAGAAGCACAGGGAAACACCTGATCAATGCAGGCATCTTGGAAAGTCCGGACCTAGTTGAACTACTTCATCGCTGCATATTTATCAGTGATAAAGCTGAAATTTTCATTGTTTGTCTCCTGTGTCTCTTTTAGCTCTTTCTGAATTTGATAGTGAGGAGGATGGTTGTGGGAATCACTCCCAAACTCTTAGTTGTTCCTCTTTGTATGCTGAAGACATGTTTATGGCTTCCATTTGCCTGTAAGTTCTCTATACCTACATTTGGTACTTTCAAACTCTTTCCTCTTTAGCTCACTGAACATGTTCTTAATGGAAGGTAAGTTTCATGAGAGCAGGGATTGAGAAGAACATAGCCAAGGCTATATCCTCAACACCCTAGCAGTGCCTGCCGCATAGCAGGTGGTCAATAAATCTTTGATGAATGACAAGTATTAAGCACACATTATTTATGGTATTTAATATTCTCCATTCTTTGGCTCTAGCTACCTTTCTAGGTGCCTCTCCTGCTCACCTAGTTTTCTATCAAGATGCAGTTGAAGGTATGAAACTCTTTCGAGTTTTAAAATGTTATTCAAATAATGCTTCATTTAGACTTTTTAAAAGTCTTTGCATTCTGGATGTTCTAGAGTTGTCAGATAACTTCATGTCTTTGATTATGTGATGTGAAATTTTTCCCAGGCTGAGCAATGTTCATTCCATTGCAACATTAAGTATAAAAATGTTCCCCGTGGACCTCCACATTTCTTTGAAGGATAATACATTTGAAAATCCTTACTGATGATACACTGTTCTTTTTGTACTCATATGAACTATAAAATGAGACCTTCTAGATAAATGTTTCAGATTACTTAAAATAATTTTAAACGAATTAAAGTAAATAGAATAGTGTTGTTAAAGTCATCAGTATTATAATTTCACTTTTGGTCAGTCATTGAAGTTACAACTGTGAGGATATTTATACTTCGTATTTTTCTAATCATAAGATTGAGCTATGCTACCTGCACACACTTATAATTAGAAACATACACAATATAGCTATTGTGTATGTGCACATTGTGAACACATGTCTGAAAAATGGAGATTTCTTTAAGCTATGTGTCTCCTTTTCTTGGCTATTAATCTTTTTGATTTAAGTTTATTTCCATTTAAAGGTTTGCTGTATTACTTTGATCAGTTACATTTTGCTGAAACACTGAAACTTTCGTAATAGTTCATTCAACATAGCATAGTATATAAGGTTGGCCTTGTCTGTGAAAACTGGCATGTATGATGACAATATCTATAATCATGTTAAAATAGAAGTCAGCTTTTAATACAGAGATCATGTAGACATGGACTTTATATGTGGAAAAAATATTTTTTTGCACATTTTGCCTCTCCCTATATTATAGCTTAATGCTAACTGATCTCAACACATCTGGGCCTTCCCATTGTTCTTATAGAATGGTCTTTGTTGGGGCACCTGGGTGGCTTAGTCGGTTGAGCGTCCGACTTTCGCTTAGGTCATGATCTCACAGTTCGTGGGTTCGGGCCCCGCGTCGGGCTCTGTGCTGACAGCTAGCTCAGAGCCTGGAGCCTGTTTCAGTCTGTGACTCCCTCTCTCTCTGACCCTCCCCTGTTCACGCTGTCTCCCTCTCTCCTAGAAATAAATAAAAATATTAAAAAAAAAAAAAAAGAATGGTCTTTGTTGGCATTCTGACTGGTCACTTTTGGACTTTGCCAGAAGAGATTATTTCTTTCCTTCCTGGCAGAGTGATTCCTCTTGAATGTATCTTTACCGGTATTAAGAAATTTTCTCTTTTGGACCTAATATCTTAATTGGACATTTGAAGAATGGCAACTTAGAGTTGTTTTGTATCTCTTCACATCAGTTAATGCTCCCATCTGATGACTAGTCTGGAGGAGGAAAAGTTCTGGACCTACCCTATACACATAAACAATAATTTGCAGTAGCCATTAAAAACTGCTCTAATGTCCCAGCCATTTTAGTTATGGAGATTTTTGTCCAGGGAGATGGCACCATACAGTATTTAGAAAATACTAAATAGAAGGTTGCCTATTTTTCCAGTATTGACTCCCTCTTTCCTTCTGTGATCCTTTGTGACAACAAGTACTTCTAAATGACCCTTCCTCTATCTTTCAATCATACAAAAATCTTTTTTCTAGAGGCTATGGCTTTTGTACTCAGGGGCAGATGGTGGGACAGGTGATGTATCCACAAACGAATTGGGACCATTTGGGGACTTTGTACAATTTTGTGGGAATGGTCAATACCAACAACCAAGCTTTTCCACATAGAAGTCTTTGAATTTATCCTTCTCTGCTTTGTTAGGAGAGTCAGATGCAGAGAAAGAAGACAGAAAAGCAAAGAACAAAAGCTTAAAATCACCTTGACAAAATGGGAAGAATATATTTTTTGTCATTGAGATGATAACATTTCGGACTTGGACTATGCATAAGAGATCATCCATTCTGACCCTTCTTTCAGTACTTGAATCCCATTCTCTCCCCCCCCCCCCCCCCCCCGGCCCCGCATTGTTCCTTAGTCTCCATCACTCCAGATAGATGGCCAATTGTTTTAGGTTTTCAACCAATTGATGCAGCTCAAGGGACAGGGAGAACATGGTCTGTGAAGTTAGAAGACTTGAAATCTTGTCCTCACAGAGCAGAGAACGTTCGGGTGAGCCAGCAGGAGATCTGTGTTCTTGTGCAGCTCCAGCACTGCCAGTGTCCAGTTGAATGGATCAGTCAAAGCAAAGAGCTTCATTTCTCTAAACCTGTTTGCAAACTAGGAAGCATGTGACAATACTATCATTGAGAAAGAGTTTGTAGAATGTTCTTTTAGGAAACATGATAGGTAGAAATTTTGGTAATATTTACAATTACAATCTCTATGGGAATGAGAGAAACCAGACATTTCACGGAAACATGTTGATTTTAAAATTTATTTTGATAGCGCTCAGGCATCTGGGGGGGGGAGGCAGGAAGAAGGGGGGAGAGAATCCTAAGCAGGTTCCCTGCTGTCATACTGGAGCCCCATGTGGGGCTCAATTTTCCAAACCATGAGATCATGACCTGAGCCAAGATCAAGAGTCTGACACTGACCCAACTGAATCACTTAGGTGTTCTAAAACATATTGATTTTAAATTAAATGAATTCAATGATCTCACAACATTGATAAGAAAGTGTAATGTGTTCTTTGGTCTTTGATTTTTGAGTTTGTTCCCATAAAGGGTTTTATGGGGTGAAGCAGCAAAATTCAACTGAGTGAATCTGAAGGTCTAATTGGCTTTATTAAATAAGTGATTCATGAATTAGGCAGCCTCCCATGCAGCAGATAGAGGGAGCTCCAAGGACTTGTAAAAATGGAAGGTTTTTTATAGAAAAGAGTGGCAAGAAAGTTAATAACTGAAGAAAAGGACTCTTCCAGGCAAGGCCCCTTTCCCTTAGGGGGAATGGAAGGAGTCTTATGCAGATTACCTCATCTTCATTTGGGGAACAGAGAGGGCCCAAGTGGCAGCCTCATTATGTGGAGCAGAAAATTTCCTGAGTGGCCCTTAAGACTACATTTCTGGGGGGGAGCGGTTTGGGGGTTTGGAGCTGCCATTAGATTAGGTATTAAGACATGGTTTGGAAATTCTGCCTAAGTGACCACATTGTGGATCTATGGTTTTCTTCCTTTTCCTTTCCTTCCTTCCCCACTCCCCTCTCCTTGCACCCCTTCCTTCAAGAGTGGTGGAAAGAGTGTGAGCAAAAGTCGAAGAGGAGGAGAGGGAGAGAGAGGACCTTAAGCAGGCTTTATGCCTAGTCCAATGTGGTGGTGTGGGGGAGGGGAGTTCCATCTCACAAACCATGAGATCGTGACCTGAGCTGAAATCAAGAATCAGACGTAAGCGACTGAGCCACCCAGATGATCCACTGTGGCTTTCTTTTTAACACTAAGAGGAGAGTGGTATAGTTTTGATGATTCACAGAATACTCATGGAGTGGTGTTTAGAAATTAACTATTTTATTCCTAATCTATTCTTCAGAATAAAGACCCACAATGAGGCAGTACTTACCCATGCCACAGAGCTAGTATTAGGTGCACAATTAGAATTCATGTTTCTTGATGGCTGGGTCCTAAGTCTTTTGAGTGGTACCAGAAGTGACAGGTAGCATGGTGTACTATTAGGTTTTTCACTACTTTTCTTCATTGAGATCACTAGGAATCCATCTTTTCTCTCAGCCTGGACATGCTTTGCAGGTATGATCAGTATTGCCACCCAGGAAGCTACAGCCAGTTGAGCTAGCAAGGAACCCCTATGCTAAACTATAAAATTCCTGTTGATTGTGGTCTTACTGGTGACACACTGCCAGCAGCTATACTTTCTTACAGTAGCTTAGTCAACATGTGTCCAGTTCAGAGTCTCTAGGAATAACTTTTAGTGGGAAATCCTACAGTTAGCTCAGCAACCACAGAAGAATGTATTTTATGGCCACCCACATTAAGTGGGAGCCCTAAAATTGACACAGGCATTTGGACAGCCATCAGCACTGCTAACATCGGTTCCATTCCATTCTGGATTCTCCCAGAGTTGTTCTAGAGCCTGAGAATCTGGCCTGTTAGGCAATAACATAGTCATAGAGTTGAGACATCATGATGAAGGGTAGTAGTGGATAGAGGACATCATGAATCATACCTATAGGATTGACTGTACAAAGGAGCCTTTTAAGGGGGAAACTTGACTAGATTGCACTTTATCATGGAAGTCTTGAGTGTAGGGCTAAGAAGCCTTGCCCTATTTCCCCTCAAAGCATTTGCAAGGCTTCCCTCTTATCTGTTGTCAGTCTGATGCCAAATCCCCTCTTAGGCTTCTGGGGACACCAAGTGGGGAGCAGATGGAGATTCCAAAGCTAGTACTTCACTTCCCTCCACACCCAGTCCCTCATCTGTCTGGAAGCTACACAATTACTTCAAAGGCAAGCCCCACCTACCAATATATTCAGTTTGGTATTAGACTCATTTCCTCTGTCAAATTGGGACTCAAGAATTCCTCATCAAAGTTATACATTGCTCAGAAATGATCAAAACATTCTCTCTCTTTAAAGCCCATTTAATTCATGGGACCACTTCCATGTCCCTGTTACTCCCTTATTAAAATTTTTTATCAAATATAATTTGCATACAGTGAAATGCACAGACCTTGAGAGCACAGTTTGAATTTTGAGAAATGTGTATATATGACTAATATGCCTCTCTACTCCTCACCAGAGATAAGCCCTTTTCTCACTTTTATCACTATAAATCCATTGTCTCGTTTTAGATAATCATATAAATGGAACCATACAGTATGTGTACTTCAGTGTCAGGATATTTTGCTCAGGATAGTGTTTTTGAGATTTATTAAAAAGTCTTTCTACATGTTACATTGCATGGCTTTTATTTTAAATACATGCATTTATTTTTCTGCATATCTGATTTGTTAAGACTTGTCAGTGAATTTTTCATTCTAGTTACCTTACATTTTTTAGGCTTTGAATTCCTGTCTGATTTTCTTTTATGCTTTTCATTCACTTGCTTGAGATTTTCCTTCTTCTAACTCCTGTCCATCTTTTGGTTTTTATCTCTGAATACGCTTATAATAGTACTTAAAATTTCCTGTCAATTCCAAAAAAAGCAGTATTTTTCCCCTTCCAAATTGACAAATTTCCTGCTTTTTTGGTGCAGTATCTAAGTAATTTTTCTTATTTTATGGGTAATGTTGTAATTGCTCCATTCCTGGGAGTCTGGACTTTTCTTTTAGAGATTTTATGTGTACCCTTAGCAGGATAAAATTCATTTGTTGGCAAATTAACTACATGCCAAGATAAAATTTTAGGCTTTATTAGGGTAGGTCTACAATGGTCCTTTTTCTAATGAGACCAGAATAGCCTTCATCTTAAAGTGCAAACTTTCTAGAATCCAACACATATTCAGTAAAGCCTCTCCAAATCAGACTGTTGGACTCCAGTATTTTCTTGCATTTGGCAGCTTTCTGAAGATCTATTCAGCTCACCGTCCCTTCCCACAGTACACAGTAGCCGTGTGTGTGTGTGTGTGTGTGTGTGTGTGTGTGTTTTAGTTGGGGGGGGCTGGCATGCATGTGTCCCCATATACATAACAGTACCTTATACATCTAAAATTTGAGTATTTTGATGTATAAATTATAGCTGTAAGGGTAATTCTCTGTTGATTAAAAAGTTATCCTACCACTTGGATTGGCCAATCTAGAGAGGAGAAAGCTTTAAATGAATGGATTTTCATTACTGGAGTGTGACAATGCATTTGCCATTTCTAATAGTATCCTTTCTCAAGTATGAGGATTTTGTTGCCATTCAAAAGTAGACTTTAATGCTTGATAATCTTGTAAAGGGCAGATGAGAAATGCTGTGTTTGATGTCATTTTCTCACCTCTTCCCTTTATGGGAAAGTCTTCTTCCTGAGTATCCTACTTGATGACTAAATAAAGTGTAATGAAAGTTAGGTTATGAGGTTGGCAATTACATGTACCCAGCCCAATGCCTGGTCCTCTGTAGTCCTAAATTTAGGCATTTTGGTTCTTCTGTACTATTTTGAAGAGTATTTTTACTTTTATTTGCTACAATTATATTCATATCTAACATCTGAATCACCTCTCTTTTACACCTGTGAGATAATTGGATTAGACAAGGAAAATGGCTAGGAGAGCAGGTAGCCTTGGGTTCAATTCTGGAAAATCTACTTTATTTATATGGCTTCAGGAAGATCAATGAACTTTCTGTGCCTGTTTCCTTGTGTGTCAAATGAAGATGATAATGCTACTTCATAGAATTAAAGAAGATATGCATACAGTGCTTAGCACAGTGGGACATAGAAACATGCTACATAGTGATGAAAAAGGTACTTATGACATGTTAACAGGGAAAATGATTATAATAATGTAATAGCTACCAATCTCAAAGTTTGTCCCAAAGCCCGACCCAAAAAAAAGGGCCAGAAAATTTAGGTACGAGTGTAATGCCACTAAGTCAAATGCTATTTCTACTGAATTGTGAATTTTATCTAAAATAATTTCAGAAAAAAGTTAAGTGAAATTCTTGTGGGTATTCTGAAAAGATGACTCAGCCATAGCAGGAGCTAGCCCCAATAATGGAACAAGTTCCTTGCCAAGCTATTAGACTCTTTTCTTCTGCGGATTGCATGTGGTTTCTCTGGCTTTGGGCAGGTTGAAGGAACTTCTCCTTTGAGCTGATGCCAAGTAGACTTGAATGGACACATTGGTCTCACTGGATGACAGTTCTTACTAACACTTTCTCCACTTTCCTAAAGAATGAACCATTATATGCCCAGTTGTTCTCTCAATGGTGCCTCCAACTCCTACTTTGCTAGTTAGCGGATAACGGAAGTTTAGACTAAGGATCTCAGATGAAGATTTGCAAAGGCTTTCCGCCTTCATTTCATTGCGATGAGAAATATCACGGAGTCCTTCCTGCAGGGAACTTTGATGCCTCCAGGCTGTTTCATCTTTAATTCTCACGATAATTATCACAAAGTCAGATCTTCTCCTTTGAGATATTTCTCTTCCTGTACATTGGCCCATTATGCCTAGAGTTGATTGCCTGGTTTTGGGTTTTGAGGAAACCGGGACAGTATACTTTCTGTGGCGGCCATGTTGAATGCTGGGCACTACTGGAGTCAGCTTCAGCTGGAGCCTCACTGCTCCCTTCCGTCACAGCTGCCAAACATTTTTGGGTCTGATTTTCAGGAGTAGATGAGATTTTAGAAACTCTTTGCATTTCTCCCTTTTCCCCATTTGTTTACTGGAGTCTTTTTTTAAAAGTTCATTCTGAGACAGCCTGCGAGTGGAGGAGAGGGAGAGATGGAGAATCCTAAGCAGTCTCTGCCTTACTAGGGCAGGGCCAGACATAAGGCTTGAACCCACAAACTGGGAGACTGTGACCTGAGCTGAAGTCAAGAGCTGGATGCTTAACAGACTGAGCCACCCAGGTGCCCCTGGAGTATTTTTTTTTTTTTTTTAGTTAAAAAAATGAACTCTCTTTTTTCTTCCCTTGCTCATGGACTTGATCTGCCCACTTGTTCTCCAACATTGCAGAGTGGTAAACATAACTGAATAGTCACTGTTCATTGGTGGGCATCAGGTAGAAAGACAGAGGTAATTGAAGACAGTTTTGTTCCCTGATTACCTCTTCCCCAGCACATACTTCTCCCTCTTGCAGACCAGTTGTTACCATAGTCAGTAAAGTTAAAACAGTCTTGGTCTCACATGTTAGATACTCATTTGTATTCGTTTCTGAGGACTAATAATTTTTGTGATTTTTTTTCCTGTCCTCAATGATAAAAATATTTTCCTGTCTTTGAGCATTTAAAGAAGCCAAATATTGAAGTCAGTCATTGTAAAGCCAAAAGGATCAATAATTCTGTGGAAAAATTCAGTGTATCCCATAACTTCTAAAAACAGCTTCACAAGTAACTATAATATACTGGTGACATATTAATAGCTTTCAAATGCTGTAGTTGATCTTGAAATAAAACGCTGCCAATGCTATTATTAAAATCACAGGCAACTGATAGGTTTTTCTGTTATTAAAGCAATATCAGTGGCATGCAGGGGACCCCAACTTTGCTCAAGATGTATCTTTAAATCTTTAATCCTTAAATAGTTGCTGAGTTTATTCTTTGTTGTATCCATTTGCTGATGTTCATAGAGAGGGATTCTTAAGTTCATATTGTGATTTGATGGTCAGTTTATATTAATTTTTCCTGATCCACCTCCTCCCCTTATCTCATGTAAGGCTCTCATTTATTTGTAAAATAAGGAGAGTTCTTTACAACTAGGTGATCATACCTTTTATTGTCCAAATTGGGATCTTTTTGAGAATGAAAGGAGGCACAGTTAGTGATTTCCAGACAACAGGTATAAACTGAGGCTAAGCAGGCAATGTAGGATAGTCATCCTACTTAAACACAATAATTTATAATTTTCACGCCGGATTTATATCTGATAACTAAAGTATAGGTTATACAGTAACTTTTGTCTTAATGTAAATGCACAAACCTGTAAATGCATGATTTGTATGTAGTATGTTTTGCATGTTATGACCTTGCTCCATCTTATGATTTCATAAGAAGTCAGGAATAAAGTGGATGGAAGTGTTTATAATATCTAACCAACCACCCATCCCCAAGCATCTGGACCACCATTTACTGATGCATGTATAGAGTCTTAAGATACAATATTCATTGTGTGGATCTTGATTGAAAACCATTTCCTGAGATGGAGAATCACATGCAGTAATTTTATTATGGAGTGCTTTCAGGCTCAACATGGGTAGGAAAGTGAAGAAAAGATCAGGCGAGGAAGTTGAACTGTGATGCAGCTGCAAAACTAAAGAACCGCCCATGTTCCAAAGCTCCCTAAGGGATCAACTGAGGTTGAGTTGTCCTGAACTGAGGCAAGGGGGCTGGACCTTTGAATTTAGCATTAATCAGTTATTGACTATGGACTGCCCATGGGGTTGGGGTGTAATGTTGGTTGAGACAAATCTGTGATCTCTTGGTCAGTTCTAAAGGTGGACTCCACTGTGCACTGCCCATAGCCAATACTGCTAGCAGTGGGGCTATGCGTGCCTCTGTCTTGAATTGGGGATCTGGAAGGTGCACACCAGTATCCACAACTGAAACTCCAATTGTGTTTAGATCACCTCAATTCAAACACTCAAACATGTTAACTTTACCAGTAATTAAACACATTAAGACACAGACTTGCTATTATAGGTAAAGAGCTAAACAAAAACTTCTTAAATATGAAAACAGAAAACAAAGGAAAGCCTACCTTCTATTCAATTAATTAGAATAAGCTATGAAACTTGCAGGGGCCACTTCAGAAATGATGCCTGATATTTCAGAAGCTGGCTACTCTTGCTTGGTAATGTTCATCGGTAGAGTTTATATGATCAATTTTGTAGTGAGAATGTGTAAAATTTTCCAAACACAGCTGAGAAGGTGGATAGGACCTAGTGTTTCCAACTTTGACCTAGTTTTTCCAGGATGATCTTGGTGTTAGTCATGAGAGTCCTACATCCTGGGACATTCCCTAGTTATGTGTCAGTCAGATGGTTGGTCATCAACACATAGCAAGCAAGTCTAGGGATACTTAATAGCCAAAAGGGAAGCTTGATTCTATGAGATTTTGTTTGGGTCTATGTAGGTAGATAGAAGGAATGATTCTTTCCAGCTTCTACAAACCAAAATGTCTCCTTCGGCCATAAATAGAGACCTGAAGGTAGAACTTGAACAAGAACTGACCTTGAGTGGGTCATAGTTAAAAATGAAATGTTAAATTGCAGAATATTTTTTATATTTCTGTCTAAATGTAACTGTAAAAGTTGTTAAATTCATTTGATAAACTGACAGCTTTATTCTTTCAGGTTATCTGGGAAGAGCAGAGAATTAACAATCAAGGGCAGCAAGCTAAGGCAAAACCATAGGCAAGTCCAGAAAACAAAGGGAAGGAATGGTCCTTTATAGAGGAAAGTGGGGGTTGGGAGGGGATGTTATAAACAAAAAGTCCAATGGAGTAAACTGGCAGTTTAAAGTATATTGGCCTCTCAGTGGTTGAGCTGGGCTCAATCTTGTTGTCTGGGCCGTTACTGGAGGAGGGAGGAGGAAATCTTTCCTCCTGCTAGGGTAGTAAAATAGTATCTAACTGCAAAGTCTGTCTCCTCCTGTTGGATCTGCAATTGACTGAATCATAGGGCATGAGAACTGTCTCTAATGGCATCTTGACTCCATTTTAGAGAGGCTTACCTTTATTTTCACAAGGTGTAGAAGACTGGAAACATGGAGAAAATGGAGATTGTGCTAATGATACATTGAAATAAGGAAGGCTGTTAACTGTCACCAAAACCATCTCACAGGGAAATTCATCGTTTCACATTCAAGGCATGCAAATGCTAGACATTTCTCTGGGTAGATTTTCTACTTCAGCATGACTTGCTCTATTATGTAGTATCTCTGGATTTGTTGAGGTAACTAGAGCAGATGGGACAAAGTGGACAGCACACAACTGTTAAAATTCATTCGGAGGCAAGGATAAGGGTAAACACAGGCTGGGTTATATGGATTTCTACAGGTGAAAGGCAGATGTAGTGACTGCAGTCTCCACACACTAGAGCCTTGTAAGGACATGGAGAACCTCTTTGTAGGTTCTCAATGTCATTCCTCTGTTATGAATAAACCAACAGGCAATGAGAAGCCAGAGCTAAAAGTGGCCACTTGAACTTTCTTAGATGTTGGCATCTGCGATGAAAATATATCTCTGCGGGTGGTCACCAAGAGTTTGATCTGTGAAATCAGCTTTGCTTTATAAGGTTTCAGGCCTTGTTTCTTTCTAATGTGAAAAACAATTTGTGGCACTGCACTTCTTGAAACATTATAGACTGTGAATGTTACATGTATTACAATTGGAGATTCTTCTTTAATTTGGAAAACACTCAAAGTCAACAGCCTGCAAGGATGTGGTAAATAGTTCAGAGTAGCACATCCAAATGTAAGATATACAATGTAAACAGTTCAGCCTTATGAATTAATACATACTATAATATTCCAAATGTCTGTGGTAGAGAAAGATGATGAATAAAGCTGGTTTACTAGCTGGTCCATTGGGGAAAATCATTCTAAAAACCCCAGAGCAAGGTTATCCTCATTGATTATAAGTAGCTCTTACAATAAAAAAAAAATAGCTTGTGGCTTGCTACTGGGTCCTAGCAGAGAATAAAAAGTTGGTGAGATATCAAGTAACCACGTAAATCGAGCCCTTCTCATTTATTCACTCAATGGAATACTTGTGTGTCAGGCACTAGTCTAATTACTTAGGATAGGTTATGGAAAACAGAAAAAGGGAATGGCAAGTTTATTACAGGGGATACCTTCTATGAAGGAGGGGACAGTGATTTATCATCTCTGGAATAGGCATTCATAAATTTCCACTTATTATTTCTGCCTGTTACCTTTTGCCAAATCTAACAGTAGGTTTACTGAAAAATACAGGGTCCTATTAATAAATAATATTGCTTCCTAATAGGAAACACATTGTGATGCAAAGGTAGTAAGACAGTAAGCAAATGATCCTGTGATTCTTTGGTTTCTCAATCACCCAGAAGCAATTGGCTTTAATAATGATAGAATGATAGTTTGTTTTCCTCTTCTGGAAGTTTAGACTATATTACCTTAGAACTTTAAGCACCCAAGGGACATACAGAAATTCAGCAGTGCTCACTGTGAAATGGAAACTCAAATATCCATCCTGACATTTTGAACTTTTTCTGCAACTGGTGAATGAAGGATAAGAAGTGGGTGGGTTATGGGGTTACCTGAAGTTATTAATCTTTATCTTCCAGTAGAAATAGTGTAGCTTCCACAGAAGTAGGGTGGGATAATGATTAAAATTTTAGGGATTCACTAGATCCCCTAATTTTGGCAGGTTCATTCATAAACGTGTAGATGACTAACTCTATGTTCACCTGCAGAATAATCCAGAGGATTAATTCTTAAGGAATAAAGTTAGGTAAAGAATCATGTCCATCTGAGATGCTGGCTGCAGCACAATTGGGGTATGATTTGAGTAGTAAAGGGAGGAATTCAATATTGATTGTAAACTGTCAGTATTTTTCTTGAATTAAAGACTTCTTATATTCTAAGATATTTGCTTATTCATAACCATGGAATTGTAGACTTATATGGATGTTTATAATCTCATATAATTCATTCCATTTTATTTTTAAAATATCTATTTTGAGAGAGCGAGTGTGTGTGTGTGAGCGAAAGATGGATACAAGAGAGAGGGTGAGAGAAAATCCCAAGCAGGTTCCATGGTCAGCTTAGAGACCGACAGAGGAGATCACAACCTGAGCTGAGATCAAGAATCAGATGCTCAACTGACTGAGCCATCCAGGAACCCCACGTCATTCCATTTTAGAGATGGGAGGATGCTTAGAGGTCATTGGGCATGATGGATTTTTACTAGGTATTTGAGGCATTATCACCCTTGTGCTTCTTCAAAATGTATATGCTTGGGTCCCATACAAGTTATTTAATCAGCATTTTTAAAGGCCAGGAGTGTTTGCATTTTCTATTTTTAGAGTCTATGCAAGATTCATTAGCTAGAAAAATTTTTGGTTTCTTCTTTTGATGGGTGACTAAATTTATTAGGAATATAATTTGGGGTTTAAAAATACCTGTGAGAAAGAGAGCCTTATTTGATTTTGGCCAACCTAAGGAAACCCCATCCACCACCACTACTTCCTACCCCCCCCCCCCCCCACACCTCTGCCACCCCAGCTTTCTTATAAGTAGGGAGCATGGTCAAGTGACCTATACTGAGATGTGAAATGAACTGGATTGTTTTTAATTTTATTTTTTGTTAGAGCAAGAGTGGAGGAGGGCCAGAGAGTGAGGGAGACACAGAATCTGAAGCAGGATCCAGGCTCTGAGCTGTTAGCACAGAGCCAGACACAGGACTTGAACTCATGATCCAGGAAATCATGACCTGAGCCGAAGTCAGATGCTCAATAGACTGAGCCACCCAGGTGCCCCGGAAATGAACTGGAGTTTTAACTGGAAGCTGGTATACATGAAGAATCTTCCTGTCAATGGTGATCATTTTCTAAGGGAAACAGCTACATCAGTGTCAACAGTGGCATTTATTTCTCTTCTATTTTATAAGACTCTTATATTTCCTAAACAGCATAGGACATTGTATGATACATAGTAAAGGCTCTATAAATGGCCATTAAATTATAAATTCACTATAACTTATGATTTAGAGAAGGAAGATCATCTAGAGGTCATTTATTTACTGATTCTTAACTGGGATCCCATTGTGGGTCTCTTGAATAAAAATCTCTATAGGAAAGCTACATTTATCAGGATCTGGCTAAGACCATAGAGATTAGTTTAAATGTTGCAAATAGAAGAAACTTGATGAAGTAATATGTGAAAAATAGGACAAAACAAGGCACCGAGAGATGAATTAGCAAGAGCAGGACAAATAGGTGGTAATAGCAGTGCCCAGAGGCAAGGACCCTCCTGGCAGCTAGTACCTCAGTGAAGGTTTTACTGTGGAAACTGACATCAGAGAATTAGAGCCTGTCCAGAAGGAGCTGGAGGCATAGACACAACAGAGCTATTTGTAGGGACACCATCCAGAGATGTTCATGAGATGTAGGCAGGCTGTTTTTCCATGTTGATTCGTCTTTTTAGGTGGGTCCTAATGTCTGAACTTTAAATCAAGCATTATGACACAAATTTCTGTGTTTCTACCTGTATTTCCCAGTTTGACTTTAGAGTAAATCTGCAAGAGTAGGGGTTCCTATTATGGCTTCTTCCATCTTCCCAGTCTCTTACCAGTGTTTTCCACTGGCCAGACCTCCATTGAGGGGCTAGTTGGCAAGGGAACCTAGGAAATAAATGGGTCTCATAGCCTGCAGTGGTCAGCCCCAATCATTTGTCTATGTACATCCAAGTTGTATAGGTGATTTTGATCATTGCTTGTTAAAAGCCCCAGAATCAATCCCTCAATTTATATACGGGGAAGTTACTTATTTAGAACTTAATTTTCTGAGTTCCAACAGCCACTCATAAATTGACATGCTGTGGATCTTCCAGAGTCATCTATGTACATGAGGATGGGTGGCTAGCAGCCCCAAGTGAGACAGGCTTTGAGGGACAGGCCTAGTGATATGGCTTGTCTTTACAGTCTAATCCTATTTTATTGCTGAAGTGTTTTGTCCTAAAAGAATATTTTTAATTAGGTTTGTATAAGGCAGATTAAATTTGGATATGTTAAACCAAAGATTTTCTTTTGTTCCTGTTGCTATCTCCTTTTCTGATACTGTGGTCACCTAACTTATTTACACATGTATGTAGGTTGGTGATAAATGAAACAAAATAGGAAGCAGAGGGACCAGAGTATGGAAATGACATTAGCATGGGTTTGGCCTTTAAGGTATTCCAAAATGCCATGTGCAAAGTAGCACAAAGAATCTAGACTTCATTGAGGTAGTGACGTTTTTCAAGAGTTTATAACTGATGGCACGCTGCAGGCTTAGAGTATGTACATAATATTCAAAAGCAGATGAGATGGAATATTCTAGATGAAAAGGCAACCAAAAGCAGGTTCCCACAAAGTCCAACTTGCCGGGAAGGGGGGGTTGCCAAGAGTGCTTATAGGTTATTGAGACACAGACTCTGACTTATAGAGAAAGTATCTATTCTTAGCAGGGAAATGAAGAGCGAAACAGGAAGTAAGGCAGAAGGCAAGTCAAGGAAAAGATAGGGATAGAGAAGGCTATGGTTCAGAGAGTGTGCAAGAATGCAGGGTTTCTCCAGGCTCAACACAGATGAGCTCATGGTAGCGTTATACAGTCGAGACCCACAGGCTGGATGTTCCTAAAAGTGTCCTGCCCTGATTGAGATGGGTTTAAGACCAGGATGGTTTTGGGCCTGTGGGTGAAAGATTGAGTTGACGTCTGCTGGGTAATGTCTTATTTCTGGCTATTATCTATCAAGTGGACTTGAGATATAATCTGATCCAGTTTGTCATTGAACCAGATGATTTGATCAGTCATTAGTCATCCTTGATGATTATCATAGCTAATGGAAACCCCTAAAGAAAGCTATCATTTTTTTATTGTGTTTTTTTATTATGAAAATAAATCTTGCCAATTAATAATTGTGAGACAATATCAAACTGCTTAATGTAAAAGCATGAAAGTCTACCATTTCCTCTCTTCATTCTCTATTGGTTAAAAAAAATTAACTCTAACATTCTGAATGAGGAGGAATTACTTGGTAAGCCTCCTATTGTTAAGGGTTATATATTCTTTTTCCCTAAGGAAGTAGTCATTCTACCTTAGACTCTGAGATATCTTGAAAAGTTTGGGTCTCACATTTTGACAGGTGACCTTTATTTGAGTGGGTTAAATAAGGGATGTGTTATTTAGGGAAAAATGCAAGCAGTTATGGTGATGTTTCTTCCTTACAGGATGCCAGACATCTGGATATTTGAAGAGCTGGGGAAATGAATTTTACCTTAATAACTTTAACAGGAATTTCTCCTCAGCTGAATTTTTATGTTAGAGTTCCAATGAATCTAAATACCATAGTCTTTAAACTATTGGAATGATTGGGTAAAGGGGATGCATAGGAAAAAGTCTCCTTGAGATGGAAAAAAAAAAAAAAAGTGAACTTTCCAAACCTGTGGATGATTGATGTCAAATAGACAAAGTCCCTGATGGTTAACTATATTTTTAATATTTTCCTAAATAGTTTCAAAACATATAGACCTTGCTGCAGATCTTCTTGGAGAGAAGACGGTTAAATTGCCTCATCAGCTCTCAAGGGCCCCTTTGTGGTTGGGAGTCCAATAAATTTTCTCCATTTCATCAGATGGACAATGGGGGAGAATCCTGCTTTGCTTCCCCCATCAGCTACAAGCATCATTTTTGGCCAAACAGTTGTTGATGTTGAGGTGGTTGAGTCACAAAGTAATTGGTCAGTTGAATTTTAAGTTTTTCTTTTAAAAACGAGGGAACTCAATGTCTACATCGTCATCATACATTTAGCAGATGCTTATGATCTGTTTTTTTTTTTTCAGCCCCCTTCCACATCTTGTTTCCTGAGATTTTCAAATGAAAAACATCTCACCTTGAGTTTGTGAAAGTGGCAGGTGAATCTTGATTCTTCAGTGAGTTTAAGGCTTCATTCCTCTGCCTTACTTGTGGTGGGCTTGGGCATAAGGGTAGGTTAGGGATTCCATGGACTCTCATTCTAGAACTGGCAACCACATTCACCAGAGCAAGATGAAGTGTTCTCTCAGGAAAGTGGGAATTCAGGGTTTGGATGGAAGAATATTTAAATAATGGATAGCTCTCTGGGACAGAGACCAGTTGTGTGGATTAGTAGAAATCTGCAGAAAAGCAAGGAGATTACTATTGCTTTTTGGGGTGTGTGTGGGGGGGGACAAGATGGTTATAGCACTAAGTAGACACCAGCAAATATTCTTTAGTATTGAATTAACTGTGGGTGAAAATAAAGTAACTTGCCAGTGGAAATGACCTGGGAATGTTTTGAGTTTTGTTCTTCCTGGGGCTTATAACAGAGCTACTGGGGTTCCCATGGATCTGTACATTGAGACACTTATGTTGGAAACACATTTTTAAATTTCTTGGGACTGTTTTCCCAAGATTCCTGACAAAGGAGGTTCTTGATGCTTTGGAGATGAAAGAATTCTGGGCAGTCACTGATTTTGCCATCTAACCGTAACAATTGATGGCAAGATGGCCTGCATGTATGTACCTACATGCACACATATATATACAGCATGAACATTGGCAGAATACATCTCACACATTTCTCTAATGGTTTTTAATGTTTGTGTATTTTTGAGAGAGAGAGAGAGAGAGAGCGAGCGAGCGAGAGCATCAGTGGGGGAGGGGTAGAGAGAAGGAGACACAGAATCCAAAGCAGGCTCCAGGCTCTGAACTCTCAGCACAGAGCCCAATGTTGAAATCAAATTCACCAGCAAATTCACCAGCGGTGAGATCATGACCTGAGCCAAAGTTGGGTACTTACCCGACTGAGCCACCCAGGCACCCTCTACATTTCTCTATTTTATAATTTCTTTTGGATTCTTCCATAATCTTAAAAATTATAATACTTAAAGGTATAATCTTAGAACAGATACATATCTTTTACTCCACTTCATTCTAGTGATGTGGAGAGGTTTCCTTAGTTGCAAAAAGGGCAAGTAAGTAAATTACTGTGCACATTAAACAATGGGTTTAAATGCTAGAGTACAGTACCTGACATACAGTAATGACTTTGTACATAAATATGGTAACCGTGAGATCTTTATTCATCATTTTATATACTATATATCTTATTTCTTAGTAATTTGATGAGTGTATATCTTGTCTGCACAAGATAGATTAAACTATCAAATTGGGAAGGGAAGATACCTTGTGTGTTTTTGTTGTTTCATGTAACACAGGGTTAGGCATATGATAAATGCTCGTTAAATCTCCACTGGTTTGATAATAGACATGTATAAGCTCCCCACATTTTTCCTCCATCCCACCATCACCTCTAGTTTTTGAACTTTGGTAGAGAAGAACTTTTGGGTGTTATGGCACATAAATGAGTTATCCATAATCAAAATTGCAAGAAGTGCTAGATGGTAAGTGGTTGTTGCTACATCCAAAATGTGTAAGCATTGGCTTTAACTGAGAAAGAGGCTTTTAACAGTTTGGTGCCAATTCATTTTAGTGGTTTCTATTTTACAGTGTATAACCTCGTTGGTTTTCCACTGTGTATCAAAGATGAGCATCTGAGGAACCAATATATTTAGGCCTTTTCATCTCTGTATTAGTCCCTCGGGAGTGCGGGTCCTTTGACTTCCAGCTAACAGAGAATTAACAGAGGCTTAGATGGCCCATTAATAATCAAGAAAGAGGTTCATTTAAAAGGAAAAAGCATGTTTTATTATGAGGGGGAATCACTTACATTGGCTGAAACTATTTTGTAATAGATGCACAATAAATGTGACCTGCTATTTGGAAAACCTAAGGTCTTCAGATGATTATGTCAAAAATGACCCATTTGATATCATGCTATGTTCCTGTTCAGGATTTGAGTGAGCAAATCTATTTTAGTTTCTAAACTCATTCTAGAATTTTCTCCTCCTGAGGAACCTCTGTGACTATAGTAACATATACTTAAGTCTGCATAGAGACTTACAATGATATAAGATCTTACCCTTTTAGTTGGACATCAAAGAACATAACTCCATTTTTCAAATGCCAGTTGGATCCTCAGAAATCCCTTTTATGCCAAAGTATAACCTAATGTAAACTGTCTTTCAAGTGGCAGGACATGTTTCCCACAGAACTAGTGTGAACTTCAGTGAATTTCTCTATTCCCTAAGCGACACCAGCATTTTTTCACTTCCAAAAAATCAGCCTTTGTGTAATTTTATTTTAAGAAACTGATAGTAATCAAGAAATAATTCAAAGAATTAGGATGGGAATTTGATCTTGAAAAAATTAAGATGGGAATTTACCCCCTTATGTAGAAAAGAAGGAAACCTCACATTGCGTTGATAAAAGAGAGAGAAGGTACCTGTATTTAGCTCAGCATCAAGTCATTATATTTGGAATTAGATTTTTGATCTGGTTTGTGGGTGTATGACAGTCAGGGATGACCTTCCACACAGGGAAAGAACAGGGTGCAAGACAAAGACAGATCAAGACATAGAAACAGGCATAGAGAAATGGTCAGAAATAAGTAGATTCAGAGGCAGAATAAGAGATAAAGTATAGATATGAAGAGGGCAGGACTCCTCAACAACATCATGGTGAAAATGCACAGGAGATTTTTTTTGTGTGTCAAATACACTCACAGGGTGTTGTGCCTGTATTACACATGAGGAAATTGGAGATTACAGAGGATAAGGGATTGTTTATAACCAGAGAGCTGGCCAGCAAAAGAGCCAAAACTGGAGCCCAAGTAATCCAAATGTTCTATTCTTTCCACTCTTACTGATAAGTTTAAATGTCACATATGAAGCACTATTCTTGTAACCGCTATATCCAGATTTAATGTTTTTGAAATATTTGTTACACAGACTTTACTAGTAGCTGAAAAAGGGATGTCCTGGTTATTTGTAATTAAGTTATTGGTTTTGTGATAATTTCTGGTCCTTCACAACTTTTAGTATGTTTTGATTGTGGAATGACCTAGAATCAGGTAAACTATACAAGTAATATTTTGTAGAGGTCTTTGACCAAAAGATCTCTTATTTCCTGAAGCATCAAGTACAGTTATTAGTATTTCCTCAGAGTTCTTCAGACTAATAAACATTTCTTTGGGTAAAAGCCATTTATCATTTGCTGTGTCATCACCAAGGCAGTCACTACGCACTCAAAAATCTCATTTACACTTTCTCACTTAATCCTAATTGGCACTTAATTGAGGGAAGAAGTATCATGATAACTGATGAATAGTCAGGCTGAGTGTTGGAAGTTAAATTGTACAATGTTGCACATCCAGGAAGTATTGAAGTTTGAGGTTAGTATGGATATGTGGGACTTCGAAGAGTCGGCAAGAAGCAGAATCTGAGACCCCCAGAAAGAATATGTATAACAACCAGAAACAGCAGGAATGAATGAATTTTAAGGCAATGTGTTTTAGAGCTTTGTTGGCAAAACCAGTATTTGAGTCAGTGTCAACACTTGACTGAATCCATATAAATAAGTCCATTTGAACATTCATAAAGTCATGGGAGGAAGTTGATAATGGCTATCCCAAAAAAGAACTTTCTATTACCACTGAAAGAATTTATACTACCAAACTCACCAAATTGCCTTCTCAGTTCCCTAATATAATGCCTCAAGTTTTCAATTTAAAACTTTGATATCCAAGAAGGACATGAATACAGACCTTGCTAAAATTCTCATATTCTGTTTGTTGAGTGTCAGTGTGAATATCCCAAGTTCCAACTTTTCATCAGGTTTTACATGCATATGAAACTGATGCTTCTTGTCCCCTAAAAGCCTCTCTAAGGAAACATATATCCATATTGAGTGGCAGTAATAATTTTCCAGTATGCAGAAGGAAAGAAAATGAACACAAAATCCAAGAGCTTTTAATTCTAGCTGTGTACCTGCTTCTAATTCTAAGTAACTCTGCAGCCTTGGGCAAGTTGCCTGAGGTCTCCTAGTCCTCAGGAGGCTCATTTGAGCATCTTTAAAAGGGGAATGCTAATTTGGTACCACTTTCTCAAGAGGATGTTGAGAATTAATGCATGAGTAAAAGTCGTATAAACTGTGGTGTAGAGCACCCCAAACTTAATTTTCTAAAGTTTCTTCTGGATCCATATGGTCTCTCACTTATTATCTTTTGTTGCTTTTATTCTACTGACAAGCTTTGGAACAAAAGCCATCAGAAAGGAAAAAGAGCTCTTTGGAAACTGCTGAATGCTAAGGGACCAGATAAACCCACAGAGTGGAAGAGGTAGACATAATGTCCTGTAATGCTAAATAACATAATCTCAAGCCTTGACCTTTGATGGGTGTTCAGTAACATAGGTATTCAATAAATTGCAAAAATACATAGATGAAAAAATGTACATTTAAAATTTATAGGGGCGCCTGGGTGGCTTAGTCGGTTGAGCGTCCGACTTTCGCTTAGGTCATGATCTCGCGGTTCGTGGGTTCGGGCCCCGCGTCGGGCTCTGTGCTGACTGCCAGCTCAGAGCCTGGAGCCTGTTTCAGTCTGTGACTCCCTCTCTCTCTGACCCTCCCCTGCTCACGCTGTCTCTCTCTCTCTCTCCTAGAAATAAATAAAACATTAAAAAAAAATTAAAAAAAAAAAGAGAAATCCAGACATTCTTTTGATTCTGGGTAGCAACCAATGGGTATAAACACCATATCAATTTGGAAGTCACAGCAGTGAGAAACCAGATGGAAAAGTACATGACCAATACATATCGCCTCATCCAGGGTCTCTGACACAGGCTAGATTTGAAGACCCAAAGTAAGCATGATCGTGTCTTATGAATGAACATACTCTGACTTTGGTGGAGTGGGCACAGGCATTTCTGAAGTGAACAGAACCCAAGTTATTTTGAGTCCATGCTGATCATGAGCCTGCTTCATAACATGGCTGAGTGTACTCCACGCAGCACAAACGGAGTGACT